CCCCAAAACCCCAAAACCCCAAAACCCCATGATATAAGATTAGTGATAAAAAGTGGAAATTAAAATGAGGAATAAAATAATAATACTTATATATTTTAATGAGAGGATCAAAATTTGAACATCCTGATATAACTGCAGCCTTCCATTAGCAAAGGTTTGCTTATTTCTTCATAATTGTTATTAAGGATTTACGAGCTGCATTAGAAAAAGTTGGAGAAATTAGGGCCAAAGGGAATGCAGAATAGATAGGCGTCTAGCCCCACAATTTAAAACTAAGTTACCATCCACAACAACAATAATTTGTATACTAATAATGATGTAATGCCATCAAAATTCCTTACTTCTAGGATTTAAGCATAGGAGCATAGAGAAATTGGTACTTATTAGAGTCTATTTATTATGCTATTTAGAAAAATTGAGCCAAATCAAGTATGAAAATGAATTATTACTAAAGAAACTTGTCCAAATATCATAAGGGAAATAGGTAAAAATAGTTATTGTACAAAGCAAAATTTGATCTTTCAACACAGATATCAGTGGGTAAGCACATAGTTCCAGAGCCAAATAAGCCTAAGACGTTGCATATTACTAAGAAAAAACTTGATGCAGAGAGAATTGATTATGATAATCTGAGACTGCTTCAAAAAATCAATAATATGTAATTAACTGTAAAATTATAATAACAATGTAATGTAGTTCAGCTACGATTCCCAAGCAGAAACTAGACAAGGACTGGTCAACTTAGAGGTAGTATCAGCAAATAGTATAAAAATCAGCTAAGAAAGATCTCCTTGATCTGTATTAAAAAAGAAGGGAGTTCCTTTAGAAGAACTATTAAATGCTGCCAGGAATTAAAGACACTTCGAAAAGCAGAGAAGACACTTAGACAGATAGACAAAGACTAAATGATGCTTCTACACTTGAAAGCCAATCTGCGAGAGAAAAGTATCCTCTCCCAACTTAGAGAAATAAGGGCAATCTCATACTCAACTAGAAATCCATGCTCGAGGATGATCCAAAGAAGAGAACGAAATCTAGTGGTAACAGATACTCTTCAAATGTGAATATGAAGCAAAGTTCTACCAAACGTTTAATGTAAAAAACCAACTTCAGTGAAATCCATCAAAATTCTCTAGAGGATGATGAGGGCACAATGACTGCTAGTATAAAGAATCAGAAGTAAGCTAGCAATACCACCACAACAAATGATTATAAAGATAATATGATTCTAGGATCTAAGCAATTAAAAGCAAGTGCGGCTGGTTACTAGAAAACACCTAGGGATAATTAATTGGGAGGCTATAGAATAAGCAAGCAATTGAATGGAGGAGGATAATTGCCAAAAGTTAATTTAGTTGGCAATTAAAAATTAGCACAGTCTTATCAGTTCAATATACCTAGAAAGAAGATAATTTAGGACAATAGTTTCGGGAGTGGCTCAAAGAAGAATAGCAATGATCTCTCAAATATAGCAAGTGCTTGAAGTATAATAGAGCAAGAGTCATAAAATAATTTACATTCATATCATCAGAAATAAGGCTCAGTAGAAATACTGCCTTCAAATAAAATTTAAGCAGAATATACGCTTCCAGCAATGAATAATCTGGTGGATCAGTCAACCCAAGAAAATAATAAATCTATTCAGAATTTATCAAAAATGACTATTAAAGATTCTCAATTTTCCACTGATCTTAAATAGTCTTTCACTGATAACGGAAAAAGAGATTTGCCTGATGACCTAAATAAATATAATAAAATTAGATAGTCTCAAAATGGTGGGGGCGATTCCTCAAATAATCTAGTCGATGATTCTTAGTCTAAACCCAAAATCTTTAACGAAAGTATTAAGTCTGGGTACCAGAGCACCACCTCTAATAAAATTAATTTTAAGAATAAATAGAGTTATGATCTAAATGAATCTTAACTTAGTATGATTAGTAAAAGTTAGATCTCGCACTCTAAGGATTCTTATACAGAGAAAAATTTTATACTGCCTGAGCTATCATAGAGTAAAGCCTAACTTGGGAAAAAATCAGATTCAATTTATGAATAAAGTTTCAAGAAAGAGGATAATTCTATGGCGAATCGCAATGTAATCATCAGTTAAATAGATAGCATTGATAATTATGCAGATGACTAATTTTGCGAGCCTACTATTGAATAGAATTCTACTTCAAAAATGACATAAAAGTTGCCCGAAACATCTTAAAGTCTATTGATAGATAAAACAAAACAAATGAATGTTTTAGAGGCTAAATCACCTTAAGTGACATTAAAATAATAAAACTCATTGATTAATAATAAAGAAGAGATAGCAAGGAAAGATATAGATAGCAATAAGCATGATTAAGTGATTTCTATTGACAATGTGATGAATTAAGCAAATAAAATCAGTACTGAATAAGTATCTTTGATCTAATCGGAATTGACTTCGATAAAAAAGACTACAACTGAAAATCAATATCTTGAAGATGGCTTTGAAGCTGAGGAAGATATTGAGGAAGAGATCTGAGATTTAATAATTTTAATGTGCGTAAATGAAGATTGCAATTAGAAAATCAGATCTACTTCCTTAAAGTGAAAACTTATTAAATTATTTATTTGAAATTTTATTACTTATACATCAACTTAATTAAAGTGCTTTCATATTATTATATATTTAGGAAAGAAAACATTCTCAAAAATGGGAAAATTCATAGGTGTGAATAAATTTTTAGTTAAATTTAAGCATTAAAAATCAACTCATACTTTCATATTTTCTTCAGGTCTAAAACTCAATTCAACGATTTTTCCCGCATCAGTAAGAGATTATTGATCCTGATTAATTTTGAGTGTATGATTGATTTAAGGGTGCGAATAGCATATTCAAGCTTGCTCAGGCTGAGTAAGCAAATGTGGCAAGATTGGCCAATTTTCCGAGGCCTGAGAAAGTGTATGATAGACCACTAAATGTGTAAGCATTAGCGTAGTTATAGTTGTAGGAATAAGCTTGGTCATATGCAAAGTTTGAAGCTTTATAGTTATTAAAGTTGTATTTCTAAACATAAGCTTCATTGTTTGAGAAGTCTGACTTATAGTTATTGAAGTTATAGCTGTAAATGTAAGCTTAATTATTAGCGAAATCTAACTTGTAATTATTGAAGTTATAGCTAAAAAAGTTGGCTTGGTTGTTTGCAAAGTCTGACTTGTAGTTGTTGAAGTTGTAGTTGTAAGTGTAGGCTTGATCGTAAGCGAAGTTGGACTTGTAATTATTGAAGTTGTAATTTTGGATATAGGAATAAGCTTAAGAATCACCCTTGTAGTTAAAGTTGTAGTTGTAGGTGTAGCTGTCGCTGTATTTAAAGTCCTTGTAGCTGTAAGCATAAGAATTATCAAATGAGTAGCTGTAGTCTTTATCAGCAAATGTCAAGAGATAGTTGTAGGCGTAGGTAACAAGATCCTTTGCATAATTGTATGAGTAAGTTGCATAGTTGTTGTTATAGTTCTTCTCATAATTGTAGGTTGCCTCATTGTTGAATTTGTAATTGTAGTTATAGTTGTATGTATACTAGTTCTTGAAAGTGTAAGAGAAAGTTGGCACATAGTTGTAATACGTGGTATAGGCGTAGTCTTTCTTGTAGTTGTAATAAGTTGGAGACTCGGTATAGCTGTAGGAGAAGTATGAATCTTTATAATTATAAGATGGCGAGTACTCGCTTGAGAAATCACTACCTTCAGCGTAGCTGTAGTCATTGTAAGCATATGCGTACTATGAGGGGGAGTACTGGTAGCTGTAGGTTGAAGGAGCATATTGATATGCCATTTGAGTTGCTTCAGCAAGGGAAATGCTGAAGAGAGCTGCTAATGTTGATAAAACAATCATCTTCGAATTTAGATGTGATGATTAAACTTTCTAGAATTAAATATTATTAAGTCATGGTTGAGAAACAATTTATAGATAATTTAATAAATTCTGTCAAGTTATTCAAATTGATTAAGAAATTAAGAAAATTATTTTATAGCCAGAATCATCTTCTCATATTTTAAGAGGCCACGTTATCTGCAAATTTAGTCTTGCCACTAATTTGCAGCTTGGGTGCCGGCCATAGTGTCACCAAAGCCATCACCCTCTCCCTCAAACTTCCAGTCCTTGACCAGCACTGCAGCAGCTGGAAGCACATACTCTTCTTCCTCTGAACTCTCAGGTGTAGGTTCTCTTGGTGGTGTCGGTGTTCTTGGTGGAGTTGGAGTTCTGATCGGCGTTGGTGTCCTTGGTGGAGTCGGTATCGGTGTAGGCTCCTTAATTGGCTCCTCTACAGTTGCTATTGATATATCTCTGAGTGGGTCAATAATCAAGCCTTCCTTCATTTAGATCTTCTTCTTGCAGCATAGATACTTCTTACAACAGGCACAACAACCTAGTAAGAAGGACAAAAGGAACATGACGAAATTGATAAATATTATTGTAGCTATAGTGCCAATTAAAACTCTCCCCAGATAGTAAAACTCGGCATCTTGGATAAATGGATATCTGAATCTATAGAGCCCCCCAGCACTATGAGTATTCCTATATCGTTGATAATAGTGTGAGCGTTCAAAAGCACATCATTGAAAGGCCTGCTGATGCAATGATGAATCAAGGCGAGAGCGTTTACAAACATTAAAAGATTCAACTGCCATAAAGTTGAGGATTACAAAGTCAAGATAATTATAGTGATCAGAAATCTTCTCAGACAAAAGGCCCACATGTAGAAGTACCTTACGAAGCTAGTGGTTGAGTACTCACAGAAGAGTAGAAACCATTTGAATTTAAGCAGTTCTTTTAGATTTTCAGTCTTTAGTGCTTTTCGATACTAAATTGCTTGGTAAGTATGATAAACTGGGAACGCAACAAAAGCAGCCTGATTAGTTAATACAAACATTAATTACAAAGAAAAAGGCACTTAAAGTCACTGATAGCTAAAGTGTTGAGTTGTCAAAGTGCATATTTAGCATTTATAGCATGCAGCAGAACACAATCTTTAAATAGCAGACCTGTATTCCTCTATAAAAAGCGAATGACCTGTAGCTCTTCTCCATTTCGACAAAGAAAGGATACTAAGGCAGCAAAGCCTTAATGAAATTGAAGAAAAACAGGAGCAAGACAGCGCATAGCCAGCAGTTCAGTATATCAGCAGCGTCACCTAAAAACGATTAAGTTTCATAGCTTGAATAGTTAAGGTTAGCTGAAACTATATATGAAAAGTGCGTTTTGATTTTAAAAGATATCATTTCTCTCGAATCCATACCAAAAGGTTGTAGCATAAGGAGTCAGATCCATATCCCAAAAAGTATTCCCAAGGAAGTTTGAGTAGATCACATAGTTGTCTCCATTCGCTATACTGACTTCCTTGATATACAAAGATGCACAAGATGGCAGATAAAGCTGCATCAATGGAAACAGACTGATAATCTGAATGCAATAGGCAAGACACCAAAAGAAATTCATAGAAATCTCGTAGAAAAATCCAAAGAAGTTAAGCATGAAGTATATTACCAAGACCCAGAAAGATGCTTCCCACAGTCCATCCAAATCACATTTATAGTCACTTTCCCTTGGATTTGCATAAAGCACCCAGACATTCTAAATCAAGGGAGCTCCTCTGTAATTGTAGAAATTACTACAGTCTCTGACAGCAAATATGATGCCCTCAGCATTCAAGCCAAAGAATTGACCTGACTTTTTATAGGTTATTTATACTTCTAAAGTTGTGAATCCTGAGCTTCTACCTCTGTAATAATTTAGGTTCAGAACATCAATATAGTAAGAGTATAAGTCACGAGGTCCCGAAACATATACCAAGAAGTCATCTTTAGTAAAAGTTGATTTCATGAAAGTTGTTTCGTTAAAGGTCAAAGTAATTACAGTATTATTTTTGCTCAAAGTTGCATTCACTATTCTAGGATAAGGCCTCCAGCAATGGTCTGGGCCTGTAGGAGATCCACCTTCACAAGTGTACCCATTTTCAATATTGCAAACTGAGTTGCATCCGTCACCGCTTACTGTATTTCCATCATCACAAAAATTTTAAGTGAAGTCTAAACCATCTCCACAGATCTCAGTGCAGGAATCTTCAGTGTAATAACCTCCTCCACTGCATTTCCAGTCAGCTTCTATTTCGCATGTACTTGAACATCCATCCCCACTATATTATATTTTATACCACATTATTACCTTAGCGTGTTAGCGTCGCACCATAAGAGACCAATATTATAACCATCACCACAGGTTTCTGAGCATTTATCAGGGGTGTAAAGATCCCCACCGACACATTCGAATCCATATTCTAGAACGCAATCAGCATCACATCCATCATTATTGTAGTTGTTTCCATCGTCACACATATTTCCCATTGGTGTTAGAGTTTTCAAGGATCTACCATCTCCGCATACCTCAAAACAATTGTCGAAATGAGCAAAGTTTCCAGTACCGCAATTCCAACCTAGCTCTTAGTTGCAGCTATTATCACATCCATCTCCACTCTATGTATTCTTATCATCGCAATAATTTGTTCCCATGTTAAAACCATCTCCGCAATTCTCAGTACACACACTTTTACCCGTTAGAGGTGCTGTACAAGCATACCCATCCTCTTTATTGCAAGTTCTATCGCAACCATCTCCTCCAACTGTATTTCCATCATCACATACTCTGATTCCTAGGTTCACTCCATCACCACATTTATCAAAACAAATGTCTGCCTTAATGGGATTTCCACCTTAGCAATCATATCCTGTCACAAGTTTACAATTATTATCACATCTGTATAATTAATAAACTAATCATGTATTCTAACCCTCCTGAATTTAAAACTCCATCTTCGCATTCTAATGTGCCCCAATCAATTGAATCTCCACAAACTTCAGTGCAAGTATCCTATGCTGTCGATCCTCCTCCTGTGCATTTCCATCCTGTTTCCACATTACATTTCAAATCGCAACTATCATATTTAAGATTAACCATGCAGATAATATTCATACCCGTCTCTTGGACCTACACCCCCATCATCACATCCATTTCTGCCCATATTTAAGCCATCTCCACAGACTTCAGAGCATGTTGACTATGCTCCAGGTACATTTCTACACTGAAATCCAGTATTGAAATCGCAAGTAACTGCATTGCATCTGTAGTTAATTAATCAAATTAGTAATTACGCTTGAGGATCTGCAGTTGTATCGCAAATTTCACCAGCTTAGAGATTTTTGTTAGGACCACCACCTGAGCATGCTTGTTAATGATATATGTAGATTTCTAAAATATTAAACCCAAAAACATACATAAAATCAAAGTCAACAATCCTATTTTGAGAGACTACAATTTTACTCTCATTTTTACTAATTCTATTTTTATATTTTATAAATGCAAATCACTCTAATCTCACCCTGGCGGGGTTTTGGGGTTTTGGGGTTTTGGGGTTTAAT